TGAAGCTGCTGCCCCCGCGACCCGACCCCGGATAGGCAGAAGAAAATGGATGGATGGATGAAAATGCCCATACAACTTTACAGATGTTAAGCTATGATGTGTTGTCAAGGTTTCAACACCCTTTTAACAAGATCTCACAAAATATCCTTTAAAGTTGAACCAAAACATGTTACTTCAAGGAATGCTTGTTTTTTTTTTTTAACTAATGAAAGTTAATTTGAGCACGTTACCCCGTGCAGCGTGCACTCCGCTGACTGCTTGAACATTTTGCCGCGTCATCATTTCTGTCCTCTATTCCTGGATGCGGCACGGTGTTGTCAGAGTGTTATGTTTAAGAGGCTCTTCAGCTTAGGTGGGATATGGGTCAGCAAAGGTGGACTCACTTTAATGGCCCATGTCCACATAAAAAAACTGATCCATTCCGCAAACATTGACTGTGATTTAWATTTTCTATCTTTAGCGAGAGATCCGATGGGAGTTGTTGAGRTGGATGTTTTGTTGGAAATGCAGGCTGTTGTTGCTTAGAGAAACGGGGCACAAGCAGCTGTGACCATCATGTTTGCCGCATCCCTAACGCTTCAAATACTTTATCCCAAAATCAAGAATTTATTGCTGTCGTGACAAACTAGATTTTTTTTCAGGCRGGGTGCTTCACTTGGAGCAGCTCAGAAGATCCTGACTCATGTGAAATGCAGCAAAGCTCATGGGACAAACAGGAACGTCCCTTTGTTATCTCTAATTACTTCTTCCCCAGCAGGAATCAAATTCATTTGATCTGTGGGACCTGCTGTGTGTGTGTGTGTGTGTGTCTGTGTGTGTGTGTTCTGTGGGCCAATTAAATCACAGTGCAGTGCGGCTGAGGTGTGTCTCCATGGCAGAAACGGTGATCCCACTCTGCTTATCAGAAAATGTTTGACAGCTAAACATTTACCTTTGCGTATCCTGAAACGATCACGTTGTGACATCTCTGTCTTTATTTCTTAATAAACCGTTTATCACTGCATCAGGACCATTCAGTTGTAATAATTTGAGGCTATACTTGCATGGCAAACGGCGTATAAGAGAACAAAGCTTTTAGCGTAGACTGCTGTCAATCCTCTTACATTGTGCTTCAGTAAAAATGGATTAGTGAGTAACACCTACGTTTGGGCCCCAGGTCACTTTGGGAGGATTTGCCTGAATGGGCCTGAGGCTGACACCTGCCCTCCCAAACTCAGAACACAAGATTCTTTCTGATTTTGATTCAAACAAGGATCCAGGATCGTATTTTTTGTTCTATTTGCCCTAGTTGAAGTATGTGACTTTTTATTAATATATATATATT